ACAGAGAAGGTCCGGGAGGTACAAGAGAAGCTGAGAGCCGCTATGAGTAAACAAAAATCATATGCGGACTAGAGGAGGAGGCCTTTGGAATTTGAGGGGGGAGACCATGTATTTTTGAGAATCAGACCTACTACTGGAGTAGGAAGGGCAATTAAATCTAAGAAGTTGACTCCCAAGTTTATTGGCCCATATCAGATTTTGAAGAAGGTAGGTCCAGTGGCATATCAGTTAGCGTTGCCATCTCATTTGGCAAATCTGCACAATGTATTTCATGTATCTCAGTTGAGGAAATATGTGCATGACCCCAGTCATGTCCTGGAGTCAGACGATGTGTAGATTAGAGACGATCTCTCCGTGGATGTGAGACCAGTGAGGATAGAGGATTCTTAGTTGAAGCGACTTAGAGGTAGAACCATCTCAATGGTGAAGGTAATATGGGATCATAAATCCGGAGACTTCACTTGGGAGATGGAGGATCAGATGCGAGAGTCCTATCCATATCTATTTCCAAGTAAGTTCATTTTCGAGGACGAAAATTTTTGTGGAGGGGAGATTGTGACGTATGCTTTTTACTGTGCAAGAAAACTTCGTAACGAAGTTTTCCTCATGCACAGTAAAATTTTTTCTTTTATATGTTCGAAGGGGGGATGAATGGTTTTTGCGGGAAATTCTTCCTCCCATATCACATGTTCCTCATTCTTCTTCTTCTATTATCTAAATTTCAAGCAACGAGACTCTACTTGTGCAGGATCTGGTGAAACGGGAGAGAGTTTGAATTAAGTGGGAAAGATTCGGTAGAAATACCATACCAAGTAAGGGGAAGTTTAACTCATTCAATATATGAAATTGAATTGCTGGGTACTCTGTGAATAAAGAATAGGAGTAGAAATATGAATTATTTGAATGTCTGATTTTGAAGAATTTCTGATTTTGATGAACTATTCACCGTTTAAAAGTTTTTGAAATTCTTGAAATTAAGGATGAATTATATAATAAAAGTGTTGTTTTTAACTTAAATTGAACATGTTTATGGTTTAATTTTGATTTGGAACTAATTTGGGTGATTGAAACTGAGAAATTTGAAACCTGGATTTTGAAAATGGCGTACTGGAGGTGATTACTATTCATATTTTGCAAAGTTTTAAATATTGATTAAATTCTTGAAATTAAGGATGAATTATATGGTAAAATTGTTGTTTTTAACTTAAATTAGATATAATTCATGTTTAATTTCGATTTGGGACTAGTTTGGTTGTCTAAAACTGAGTAATTTGAAATCTGCCAAAATTTGCTAAATTTGACACTGTTATTAGGCGAAGGAAGAAGAAAAGGATATGGTGAGGATTATTTAAAAAGATCAAGGGTAAAATAGTCATTTTTCATCCTAGGGACATAAATGTAATTTTTGAAAATGTTCAAGGGCAAAATAGTCATTTTACATTCTAGGGACATAAATGGAATTTTTGAAATTGTTCAAGGGTAAAATAGTCATTTTCGGGACATGGAAGGAATTTTTGAAAATGTCCAAGGGCAAAATAGTCATTTTTGGGACATGGAAGGAATTTTCAAAAATGTCCAAGGGTAAAATAGTCATTTAGGGACATACATGAAATTTTAAGAAAAGATTAAGGGCAAAATAATAATTTAATGATTTCGAAAATTATTTCAAAAATAGTTTCGGAAATAGTTTCAGAAATAGTTTCGGAAATGATTTCGAAAATTATTTCAGAAAAATATATATATATATAAAGAGAGAGAGAATGAAAGTAGTGTGTTGTGACGTGTGTGGGTCAGACTGAGCCTGAGGGCTGATGCCCAGAATCAGTCCTGAGACGTTATATATTGGCTAGACTGAGCTAGAGGGTTGGTGCCAGAATCAGTCAAATACTATTTTTATTGACCCGAATGAGCCGTGAGGACATGTGGTCCAAAATCCGACAAATGTGAATAAATTTTGTTATGTTTGAATGGTACCCGGGGTGGTACAGAGTACATTAGTGTAATAACAATGTCGGAGGATTCTGAATGAGGTCCCAGACTTGACTGATTGGTCGGGTCAGGTAGACTACGAGATCAGGTGGTGAGAAGTCGATGGGGATGACTGGTGGCGCGCTCGGAGGGGTACTCCAGTATGAGTGATGAAGGGCGCCAGTAATCCTACTCTGTGTGGAGGGTGGTCAGAATGATACTGCGGGTGTCGATCACAATGTGCCCACAGATGATAGTCTCTGAGTTCGGGCGTAGTTAGGGTATACTTCCGGAAGGTGTCTTAGTGTGTTGATAATTTCGTAATTGATCATAATATATAATTATTACTTCTATATCTGTTTTATTATATCGAATGATTTAATACTTACCCTTATTTTCCATGTGGATGGGACTGCGATGATCATTTTTATGTGGGAGCAGATCAGGAGTTGAGAGATGGAGATGTGACTACTGGACAGCAGGGATAGCTCAGTGGGATAGCTTCGAGGGAGCTACTTTTACATGTATAATATATAAATAAATTATGTTACTATATTTTGAAGTTCCGTTAGTGAACCAGAATTTTAATCTATGTTACAATTACAGTAATATAATGTAAAATAGATGTTGTTATTTACTTGTTTATTACTTTGCGAAGACATCATTATAGTAGCGATTTCTAGGGTCGTTACATGTTCTATATTCTAAAAACTATTCTGATGTTTATTCCATTGCCATAAATAAAAAGTAAAAAATTAAAACTTGGAGTGAAATTAAAAAAAATACCCAACTCAATAAAACAATTGTCAAATACTCTAATATACATCCCATTTTTAAAGTATACAAAAATAATTATTTTAATATAAAATAAAATAATCTTGTTGATTAAATAGATTTTGAAAACAGAAATGATTCATTAACTAAGAAAATTATATTAGTTTTATAAATTTTTAAAATATCACGAACTAATAATGACTTCCTTAGTTTTATTAGTAATTTATAAGAAAACTAGCTAATTAACTATTTTATATATATATATTTTCAATACTAATAAAATCGAATAAGGTAATGCAACTATAAATGAAAAAAACACATAAAAACAGAAAAAAAAATTATAAGTTTTTTTTTTGAAAATTAAAAACAAAAACGGTTTCTAAGTATATCTTCACATAACAATTATTATTAAATAAGTTCTTTAATTTTAAAATTTTAAAACTATTTTTAAAATTACAAATAAATCCTAATTATTCAAGAGAATAATTTCCAGTAGACCGCCGAAGAAAAAATTGTGACAAAATATTTTTTATTATTTCTTTATAACTAAGATTATTAAATTATCTTTTATTTATTATAAAATCTTACATTTTTTATTTATCTTATAATTCAATAAATTTATAATTTTCTTAGCAATTTATTTATAAAATTAAAAACTGTCATTATTATATTTTCTTATCCTATATTTTTATTTATTATAATCTCATATTTTACTTTATCTTATAATCTATCACATTTATAATTTTCTCATTTATCTACGAAACATGAGAAAATATTGTAATTTATTACTATTATATATTATTATTATTAATAAATAAAAACAAGGGTCATTCAAATTAAGTTTCATCTAGATATAAATGTTACCCAATTTGACAAATTAATTAGTGATTTTATTTATATATAATCAACCTTGCGACACCAAATTTATATAAAATTATCCATCCTAGATTTTTTTTTATATATAAAGACATGATTTTTCATATTATAAAAATAAAAAAATACTAAAAATATAATTAAAGATTAGTAAATATCATAATAAAGGAGAAATAAGTAATGAAAACCTTAGAGCTTGGAATAACCTAAAGTCAATTAATCAAGTCATTCCATGAAAGTAAAGGAGAGATGTTATTCATTCAACCCAAAATTATAATCTACAGACAGAATTTCAAATGCTGATATATATATTTCTTTTTCTTCCATTGCCTCAAAGTGTAGAAAAGTACTTATATAACTTAATCTCGGGAAGAAGGGAAACTCCACCCATGGTGGGACTAAATCATAACTGGAGTTATGAACATTTAACATGAACGCCCCAAGTGTCTGTGTAAACCTTATTTATCTACTATGTAGCCTACACTTAGAAAATTATTCATTAGACTCTAATTTGGACTTATATCCACATACTAAAACTTACATTATTTAGAACTATTTCAAAATTTAATTTGAAATTCTCAGCTTTATTTAAGCCCTTCTTTATGCTTCGTGTTGTAGCTTCTAAATATCAGAGCATCCAAAACAACATTGTTCAGGGCAGATTTTTCTTCTCCTTATTCCTTTGCTTGTCAAGTTATTAGGGAGTCGTTGAGTGGGGAATAAGAGATGGCGTGGTACAACAAAATGATATGGTGCACTGATTATGTTGTTGCGTTGAAGGTTCATCTCCCCTGCAAAGGTTATGATGGGTTGAAATGAAAGTTTGTTATCACTCTACTATCATGTAGGAAATCAGAGGATAACAAGAATAAAGCTAAAGCTAAAGATGTCAAATCCATAATCCCCACCAATTTAGCTCGTTCATTAAGGTTCATGATTGCTTCTGTAATTACATCAATTTCAGACATAATTGGCTGAAACACCAAAACATGGGGTTCATATGGCTTACAAGGGAAACTCTTCAATTGCTCAAGTTGATTTTAATACAGAACATTTAAAAGTAGTAGAATACCCCTTTTAAACACCATTGTTTAAATGTAGAAATAAAATTTCCCAGCCACTAAAATTCCAGTATTTAGTTGATAAACACCATGACTTAATTTGTATTTGAGTTTATTAAAGTAAACAAAAGTCTACCAAACATAAGCACAACATAATAATATTACCCAAATAATATATCAAGACACGCAAAGATGCGAAAATTAATGGCTATACTAATTCTCACTCAGTTAACTGCACAACATACACAATAATACATATCTTACTTGAGATCTTTTCCATCTTACATATACATGCATACATTTTCTCACCAAACATATAAAGTTTCACCAAGGAGCATCGACCTCTCTTTGAAACTGGATCTGATAGTTTTCAGCTTTGCCCTTCAAACTCCCAAGATAAGCACCAAAACCATTACATGCTCCTTTCAATTCTTCGAGCTTGGCTTCCATGTTTCTTATTTCAGCATCTGCGCGACTGTATTCATTTCTATATGCCAAGTATTTTTTGGCCTCTGAGGCATTACTTTTCTCATAAGCAATGCTTACAAGCCGGCGTAATCGGACCCTTAGAAACTCAACATTCATGCCCAGATGCTCAAAGGCAAGCAACGTTTTGTCCCAGTTAGCAAATTCAACACGTGGGGTGCATATCACACTAACCTTTATGGCATCAGCAATGTTGACAGTTTCGGATATAATTCCAGTAATCAGCTTATAGTTCATGCCCTTGATGAGATTCTCATGAAGAAATGCATGCTGACTGCAACATAGCCTGTAGTACTTGTTTCTAACCTCAGTAGGGAATTCAGCATCTATTGACACTCCATCAACTATGATGCTAAAATTTTCAAAGCCTCTCACATCTTCCAACTCAAGCATTTTATACTCCTCCATAATTTCTGAGAGAGCTTCCTCACTATCATTTTCGGATTGTTCTACTGATGGCCTCACCTTAGGTCTCAGACTGGACAAGTTTGCCCTCTTTATCTTTTGGACATCTAGTGGGACAGATTTGCCATGTTTTCTCTTTGAGCTATTGCATACCACAACATCAGTATCTGCATTATCTTTGCCTGAGAACAAGGAGCAAATCAAAGAATGCATAAATCCATGATGATTTGTGATTGATATTATACAAGAAACTAAAAGCATAGAGAAACAAGTCTTGCCTCCCATTTTTTGTTTTGTGCAACTATCAAGATTCAGAAAGGCCCCATCCAGTTCCCTCGTATTATTAGCTCTTATTATATAAACCTGAAAAACAAGCATAAAAATAAGTTTTTGTTTGTGTAAGTTTAAAAACCACTTTCATTTGGATACAACAACAAAATCAACTTTTACATAGTAACTTAGGCAAAATGGTATGTATGAAAGTGAAAAGGGAAAACAACTATTGGAAAATTTGGGAATAATGTTCTTTAAGGAAAAAAAAAACACTATTGAAGTTTTTTTTTTCAAATTTCTAGACGCATAAAATAGCTTGTTCCTTTATGGAAAAGGTTAAAAGAAAAAATGAGAGAAGCTTTTTACTAAGTGCATAAACATAATAAGTGGAATGCACTTCGCGAGAGAGAGAAGATAATATAATGTCACATTTTTCCCACGACTCAAAAGAATAATTCTTGGGCATTATCATGGACTTGGAATTTTAACAGAGGAACAGTTGCGATTGTAACAGTGCCAATTTTACCAAGAAGTTGTATCATTGCTTCCATATGACCTTCTAAACAAGTCCAAATGATAATAGGAAAATAACCATAACAATCAGGGCATGATTATCTTAGTAGCAGTACCAATTTTGCCTGAAAACATTTAAGCCCTACAATTGTTGCCATATGACCTCCTAATTTTTGCTTTAGTTGCAAGTGTTCCCTCTGTAAAATAACAAGTATAACGCTCCAACAAAATCACACTAATCACTAGAAAATCACATTGAAGTCCTTGTCACAATCTTCAGAGATAGCATATATGTTTTTTTTCCTATTTTTATAACAAAATAGCTCTCCGTGCTGAGAAATGATAACCTGAATATGCCATTAATCTTGAGTCATTTTTATTATACAATGGGGTAAAACGATAGTCTTGGATCTACCCCTGAACCATCGCTGAGAAAGTAAGGGAGAGAATGATTAAACCATCCAAATCAGTTGGTGACTCATCATAACACTCTGTATCAGTGTCAAAGCATATTGTTAATGCAATAGATCATGGTCTTTTATCATCTGGATATAATAATGTTTAGGACCCATGGAAAATGTCTTTTCAATAACATTGACCTCCACAAGATATTAGTACCCAATAAGAAAATTATACTTATCAGTTGTTAGAAATTTTGGATGTTATTATGATTGTATGTCTATTACATTGACATGCATGTAACTAACACAAACGATACAAAAGGGCAAGTAATGATACACACATTATTGTTATCCTTTTTTATTGCAACACAGTCCCCATGCTCTGATAGAAAATGTAGAATCACCATTAGCAAAATTTAAACAAAAAAATATTCTGAACCATCACCTTAAATTTGGTTGGTTCAACTAATTGAAAGACCACCGCATCACCCTCCTGCAATTTGTGCACAGCAGAAAACTGTCTCCATCCAGCACTCAATCCCGTCTTGCAGGCAATGAATTTTGTATTGTATTCTTTACCAGATTCATCTTCCAAAATGATTGTTGTATCCTTACCCGGTAAGTGTCTTTTACAGAATGACACAGGAAGCCCCTACAAAAAGAAACCAGGAGACACGACTGTAAAACATAATGAAATTAGGTTCTATCATATAAGTGTTTTTATTTCAGTACTTTGACATGCTTACCATCCAAAAACAACTAGCAACATGTGATCTAACTAAAGACTTCACAAAACTAGGAAATTCTGGTCTCAAATTTGATTGGACCTCCTCTGCTTTAAGAACTGCAGATGACATGACCTCACCACGAGAAGATGTTCCTTCTATTGCAACCTTCATGGAACTGGAAGCAAATGCCATGTTCCAATTTTATCATAATTAAGTCAAGTAATGGATGGAGTTATTATCTAAACAACACTTATGCTGATTTACTTACCTTGCAAACTTCTGAGATTCAGCAGGAGTTGCCTGTAGAAGAATTGTTAGAATACTAAACCACTTAGACTTTGATTTTCAATTAATTATACCACAAACAATTTAAATCAGAGAAGGTTGTACACTCTAAAGAGTGACCGATTTACAATTTTCGACAAACTTGCACAATTGTTTAAACTTCGATCTAAAAAAGAAAATTTAATACTTCTAGCCAAATGTTATTCGATATCAATATCAGCAAAGTTTAAGTTGCCTATGTTAATAGAAAATTTAGAGCATTGTTTTTTTCTTGTAACTATTTCAAGTGTCACCATCAAAATTTCCTTAAGACAGACATAATAATTCTCTAGTATTATCTCACAACTTGAGGTTTGCAGTGACATCTATTTGTGTTCTCTAATACAAGTATACAATGTGTTTGGATACACATTTTGAACTAAAAAAATTCTCGTCAAACTTCTCAATGAAGGGTGAGCTACAATGTAGCATATTGATCGATACCACATCAAACAATCACATCTAAATTGTAGTCGACAAAAATAATTTTGCTTGCTGAACATATTGACTTAATTTTGAGAACTTTTTGCTATAAAAAACTATGAAGGAAAGAAAAATTGCTATCTAGTCCAACATAAAACCCAACAAGAAAAAAAAAAAATATATCTTACTTGCTTGGTCTGACTATTATTCATTAGCTTGTATTTATGCTCCACCACCTTGTTTTGTTTATGCTGCAAACAATGCAACATGGCTACAACTCATTACTAAAAACTCGGAAAAGGAGGCACAAAGAGAAACGCACGACCAAAAGAATATCATCTAGCTTGGTCATATGCTGATAATATAAATCAAATTGACTTGACTTATTATTGGAAAGAACTACTATATACTGAACTGAAAAACTGAAACTATGTAAGGTCAAGATGATAAATGAAGATGCCCACCAAAGTCTCTGTAGACCAATATGCAAAACACAAAATAAAGGAAAACAAAAATGTAAAACTAGGCAATTTTGTAGAATATGTAGATATGGAAGATAGAATAAAACCATGTTTAAAGGAGAGATTCTAGAGAAGTGGGGTAGAGGTATGCCCCCATGTAACTCCTCCCCATAATATGCCACAGTCACAGCTTGATCATATTGTGGAAGCTCCACCACGTCCCTCCTGTTCGCACGATCCCGGTTCCTTTCATCAATCACCACCATTTTCAACCTTATTAGACGAGAGTCCCTTTTCAGTTTCAACCGTGAATGAAAACATTAAACACCAACACCGTGTGGTGGCCGCAAGATTAATTGACTTCCATCTTCCCCCACAAACACAATCCCTCTTACGCAAGAAAAAGGAATGATATGAGAGAAAGGCCGGAATGGCCTTGAGTGGATGTGGGGGCGGTGTTGGTTTTGATCAAAAGAGAAAAAGTTTACATTATGAGTGGTTGATCGGTTGATGAGAGAGAAAAACCAAAATGTGCGTGTTACGCTTGACACTGTTGGATCCAACACCTTCTATGTTTGTGTCTTTGGGTTGGTGGTGTTGTAAAAATTCGTTGGTAATTGCCAGCAAGAACTTTTAATTTTGAAATGAAATGAAGTAGCATGTTGGAGCATTGAATTGAAAGGTAGATTTTAGAACATCCTACAAAATATGAGACAGACACATAATTAACACGTGTCTAACATATTAAGTCATTCTCAATCACCTTAATTCTAATTCATCGTCATATCGCATCCATGCCAATCTATTAAGTCACTTTTATAAAATAAATGCTTTAAACTAAAGAAATGTTGTTGTCTCGATCCATCCTCATTTAAATCCTTTCTTTTTAAATGTATAAAGACACTTTATTATAACATTTGTTTTCTTGTTTATCGAAATTTTTAAGAATTTGTATACATGTATTTTTTATATATATTTTATGTATATTTAGAATAAAAATATTATAAAATATTAAATATCAATAATATTTCAATCTCAAAATAATAACTTCATATTTTTTTATTTTTTCTCTTAAAAAATAATAAAATATTTTAATATCTAATTTAAATAAAAGATAATAAAATAATATTTTTAACATATTTATAAATTAAAAACTAATTTTTATTTTTTTAAATTTTCAATACATTGTCATTGAATAAAAAAATAAAATAAAAGGTCTTTAAAATATAAATTAATGACAAGAGTTATTTTGATCTACTTCCTCTTTGATAATCATGAAAAGTTTATCTAAAAAATATTTATAAAATAACTAACAATGAGAGTTATTGGTGACAAATATTTTGGATTGACTTCTTATTTGACTATCAAGAAAACTCAAGATGTTAGTAATGTGACTTGGTGATCATAATATTTATAGAAAACTCAAAAACAGGATTTAAATTTTCCGTGAAGAGACGTTGTTTAGATTAATAATAGTCATGGATGAAATTGAAATTGAATTTAAAGTTGGGTTGATATATTGTCTCATTATAAGAAGTGATTATTTACTTACTACGAATTTAATTTCATTAAAATGAAAATAATAAATGTATTTAGTAAAAAAAACTCATTGGTAACGAAACGAAACCCATAAATGGTAAAAATGCAATTTGGGCCACGTTATTTTGATGATGATTGGAATTGAAAAAAAAAAAGGCCAATGAAAAATAATCAATCATTGATCCAATGATTTTAAGCTCATATTAGATTCCATGGAGTTACTACTAGGTTACTTCTTCAACCACGTAAATCAATATAAATAAAAAATAATAATAAAATAAACTTGATTTGTTAAAACTAAAAGGATTGATTACTTCTTTGATCTAATATATATTGATAATATAATTTCCAGCAAATATAATATAAAGTAACGCTAAGAATGAATATAGATAATAATAATAATATAAAAAATTAATTGTAATTTGATATTATAAAATTATAAAATAATGGTAAAGTAAAAAACAAGAAAATAGTCTAAAATCCAAATAATAAAAATATAATCTTATAAAAAAAACAAAACATAATAAAGAATCACACATAACATAGTAGTAAATTGTTACAATATTCATACAATAATATTTTTAAAATTACTTTTAAAAATATTACTAAATGTACTTTCTTAAACAATAGTTCAGAAAATAACATAATTCCAAAAACAGAGAATTAAAAACACGATTTAATGACAACCATATTCTTGGTTAGAAGAATAAGGAGAAAAAAGTTATTACTTTTAATACTGTACGTTCAATGAGTCTATGAAAGAAACTAAAAGTCGACAATAAAAAATTAGTTGTCACAAAGAGTGATTATGAGCAGTAAAAATCGATAAAAAAAAAGTACAAATAGGTAAAATTATTTAAAAGAATTAAAAGTAAAAATTTGAAATTTCATCTAACTAAAAACTTATTTAACCCAAAAAAAAAAACTACAATAATAGATAGACTTTCAATTATTTATTTTATTTTCATGTTTAACATTCACTAACAATAAAAAAACCAATAATTGTTAACAAACAACGTGATGTGAATTGTTAAATAGTTGGTCTAAATATCAATATGTCCTTCGTTTGGACATCAATGAATTTAATATTTTAAAAATAAATTAATCATTCACAAAGTAGGTGAGAATTTTAATTATTTTTATAAGAAATTAACAAGGCAAGAAAAAAATGATTCTGTTGATGATATAATTATTAAAAAAAAATGTGACCTAACTAATAAAGTATGATGGTGTTGTTGACTCTCTTAGGTTGCTGTTGGATATCTTCCACAATATTATTATATTATAGATTGCAACATAATTACATCTTTAAGTACGTCTTAACAGAGCATGCTAAAAATAATAAAGTCAAAGAAAAATGTTTGTGATAGTAAAAAATCGATATAAGGATCGAAAAACAGAAGAGAGAAAATCGAAGACATATGATTGGTTAAAAAATTGATAAAACGGAAAGATAGTTGGAAGACACCTGGTGATCACGAGATAGTATGAACATATAAATCGAGAATCAGAAAAGAAAGAAACAAATCGATGAAAGTAATGATAAAATATAGGGTAAATCAAGGTTAAGGGAAATTGGACTCGATAACTGGAATCGAGATCAAGGGAAACGGTTATCATACATATGGAACATGAGAAGTGGCTTTTCACATCGCGACTAAGGTTAGAAATCGAGAAACGATTATAATGCACGTGGAACGTGGAAGCGGTTTTCTAAACCGTAAACTAAGGTCAAAATCGAGGATCGTGCACATGGAACGTGGTGACAGTTTTCTAAACTGCTCTTAGGATGTTATATTGAAGGATGCCTATAAATAGAACGAAGCTTGAGGAAGAAGGGGAAATTGACAGAGACAACAGAGGCGCAAGTGAACAGTCTACAGGAGAACGACGCATCATGAAGTTTCTAATGCTCTGGATTTCCATTTTCATTGATTGTCTTTATCGTTTTCTTTACTTTCCCTGGTAATTTACTTTCATGCAATTTACGTTTATCAACTTTAAGTTTTTATCCTTTCAATTCCTTGTCATTTACTTTTATGTAAGTTAAGGTTATACGTTTAAGTTCCTCGCCATTTACATTTCTGCAATTTAGATTTCCTGTCATTTACATTTTTGCAATTTCGATTTCCTGCTATTTACATTTCTGCAATTTCGATTGCTTGTCATTTACATTTAATGCAAATTTGAGGTTTCCGCATTTTATATTTCTCTGCAATTTAATATTCTGCACTGCTTTTGGATTCAACACTTTTACTTGTCTTCTTTACTTCGCGTTTCTTAATAAAAAATACCAAAAATAGTACTTTCGATTTGCACACTAAGTTGTGTTGTTTGCATTTTCGAAACCATGGGATTTTCGATTTTCATGCATTTTTCGATTGAAAATCGTTTGCTAGCCTAAATAAAAAGAATCTACGTGGTTGAAATTTGGTTAGAACCTAAGTTTTTTAGAAATCGAAATCGATCAAATTTTCACAAGAAACAGTTTGTAATATATTTTCTATCACATTTTTTAAATATATTTTTTTATTAATTTAAAATTTATGATAAGACATAATTTTTAGATTTCATTTCTTAAATGTATATTTATATTAAAATTAACTTGAACCATAAGTTTGAGATTTATGTTTCATTTTTCTAACCAATTAAATTGTCTTTTAAAAGATCTATATTGTTGATTAAAATTATCATAGACACAGTGTATATTTAGTTTGACGTCTTAAATATTAATGTGATTTTATCCAAATTAAAATTATTTAAAATAATTTTATTTTTCACATTAAAAACATGAATTCGAAAATTCAAATATTAAACCAAAATTACATTTTATCCTGAAGAATCGTTAATGGAAAATCGGCTAATTTTTATTTTGTGAAATCAGAATAAGGCATTTTATTGGAAAGCTGATATTTTATTTTTATTCTAAATATTAAAACGTAGAGGTTTAAAGTTGATATTATTTTGGTTGAAAATGGCTCCGCTAGCGTTTTTTTGATATAAAGTTACTATATAAATAAAAATATTTAATATTTTTTATTATTGTATTTAAAACATATATAATTACAGTATGTTTCAGAGAGTTTTGTCTCTTAAATATTTATATCTTATATTTTTTCGCAAAACTTATACAAATACACCTTTGAAGTTAAGATAATGCATGAGAGCTATCAAGCTTATGATTCATTTTATATTATAATTTAAGTTTTTATTATAATTTTAAGAGTTATTATTATTTTTAGTTAGATTGATTTTACATCAAGTGTTTAATTTAAAAAAAAATACTCTTTTTATAAATATTTTCCAAAATATATAATTTTCTCATTATCTAATAATTATCTAATATAATGATAACATTTATTTAAATTTATAAATACATGACCATAAAAAATTGTTAGTATAATAGTATAATCAACTAATATCTTATATGTATATAAAGTGCTAACTAATATCCTTTTACATTTGTTAATATTTGAAAAAAATAAAAAATAAAAAAGTAATGTTTTTATGATCTTATATTACGAGGTAGTTGCAATTTGACTTGATTTGATTTTTATTATAATTTAAATATAAAAAATATTAGATTATATTGATTTTTAATTACTTCTTCTAGAACCCGGCAAATTTTCAAGAACCTAATATTTAGTTACAAAACTCATATTAGATAGACTAGAGAGGTGATCATGAAAATAGAAAATATTTGAACTTGCTCAAAATATTAATTTTG